CAGGCCCATTGCTGATAGCTCAGCAAAAGCTTATCACTTGATTTATATTTCCTCAAAGGACCCTTCTCTCCAGGTTGGTCATGGAAATGTTCCTCTCGAGCCCTGGGTGTGGAAAAACAGACTTCAGCCTCTTTCATTTCTGCCCTATTGCCAGAGAAGCCTCCAGGGTATGAGTGGAAATGAGTATCAAGATCAGGCTCTTCTGCAAGCTGAGCTCAGTGACACTGAACATAACTTTTGTTTCCAGCAGCAGGCACAGATTCCCAAACTCAGCACACCCCGTTTATTGCAGGCTGTTACAGATGACAATCCTGACACCAAAATAGCTGTGCAAGATTTCCTGAAGGAAAAATGATAAAACTCTCCACGAGCATGCCTTCTTCTCTGCATTTTTGATGGACTGATTTGCATGTATTCAAACAACCAAATATCTGTGCCAGGGAAAGCTCAATCCCGTGTATCTGTTTCTCTTTCGTACACTAGCACAAACGATGTGAGGCTTAGGAACATGGTCAGCCTTTCAGGAGGAGGATTATAGCATGTGTGTCCTCATTTGCAGGCACCTTACTACACTGAGTTTCTCACCAAAACGCTGTTGACATGACAACCTCACTGATCTTCTGCAAGACCAATAGACAATCCCATTCTAAACCCAGATCCTTCCATGGTTCCCTCACCAGGGATCCAGAGGCACTTGGTAGGCTGCCTGCCTTCAGGAGGGAAACCAACATTTTACTGCCTGGTCAATTCTCTGCTCACTTCCAAGTAGGTGTATCTTTGTGGCAAGTGACAAATCTCTATCAATAAGACACAAAGTCTCTCAAGCTTGTGGCACAAGCTTGCAAAGACACATTTCAACAGTTGTTGTGGCCCACACCAACCACAGCCCTTATCAGCTGCATCCCTGAGTCTGTGCCTCAGCTGGGATTTCCTCCCACAGTCCCATGAGCTCAGTCAGCCTCTGGAAAAATCACTGTCTTGTAAACTTGTGTTTTCTTTGTCATTCAAGTGAGCTGCTATTTCTGGCATAACTACTGTTTCCATGGCTACACCAGCTCATAAATAAGGTCAGAAACCTTGGAGATGTTTTTTAAGTGATTCCTTGGAACAGAATGTAATCTGGCCAGAGGTGATGAAGCTCCTTAGCTTTTCTTTGAGGCCATGAGGACTGCACTCCTGCTACCACCTGGACACCATGGTTTCTGGTCAGCTCTGGTCTGGATCAAAAGGCTACTGTTGTGGCCAAAAAAGTTGGCACTGGCTTTCCTGGGGAAGAAAAGCCTGGGCAGGGAGGGACAGGGATTGGGTACTCATTCCCTGGGCAGGACTTGTCATCCATGTGGTGGGGCAGTCAGGCACGAACATGGAACAGGTGCCTCTTGCTCTGAGAAGAATCTGTGCACCCACAACTCTGCAAAGTAAACACCACCCACTTTGTGAGGGGAAGAGAGAGAGAGAGGATGGATGGAGAGAGAGAGAACTGATAATCCTGGGAGATAAGAAAGAACATGAGAAGTGGGGCCCTTTGGGGAGTTTCTGTCATGTTTTTTCAGTGGAAAAAAAATATCTTCATGTGACACCATGGAAATTTTTTTCCCACAGTCCACTTTTGTTAAAGGGAAACGAGAGATTTCATTGGGAAAACAGGAAAACAAAGGGAGCATTTTGAAAACAAACAGCCTGAACATATGTAAATTTTTAAGCTTCAGGAAAGAGGAGTAGAGGGCTGTACAGCTGATTTCTCCAGCAACTTTACCTACATAGAAAAAGGCAGAAGGGGAGGGGGAGCCCCTGGAAACCTGTCTGCAGCAGATGGAGGCATGGGAATGAGCAGCGGGGATGGGAGCGAGTCTGCTGCCAGCAGGCTGCACCTCTTTATATCCACACAAGCAGGTCCCTGCCCACAGTAATCACTTCTGCTGTCAGAAGAGGATGAGTGCAATCAATCTCCACACATTTGTATACAAGCTCTAGTCATCACAGGGAAGAGAGGATGCCAACATGATGCTGCCCCCGTTCTCTTCCCTGTGCCCAGAAATTACTGCACAAGCCTCTGAAAGCTGTGTGATTGTCTTAAATGTGTGGGGATGTAGGTGTGTTTGCTCCTCTGCTAGATTGAAAGCCTCTCATCTACATCTAGGATTTACTTCCCAGCTTCTCAGTGCCCACTCAAGGGCTAGGACCTTATTGTTTGGGGGTTTTTTTGATGTAAGCTAAGGATTGAAGGATTTTTCTTGTCTAACTTCAGCAATCTGAAAGTTCAGAGGCGTCAGCTATGGGACTCTTGCTCAGCACCAGCACAGTGCTGGCCAGGTGTTCACTGCCAGGGTGTGTCCCATCAGTGAGAGACTGTCCCTTCTTGGTCACATGCAGTCACACCCCTGGCTGGCATGGCTGCTCCAAAATCCCCTCCTGCAACCTCACCCAAAGACACATCCCATCCATCATAAACAACCCCACACTTTGGTTTCCTTCTGCCCTTGTGTTGCTCTGATGCTCCCAGTGGTAGCCACTCCATTCACTGGGATTATATTCAGTCCTGCCAGCCCTGACCTTGTGTAGTGAGGTGGATACTCAGCAAGGGGAAGTGGGTAAGTGCAAGGTGCTTCATCAGGGCCAAGAGCCCCTGAGGCTTGTTAACCTTGTGGTTATAGCTCCAGCCAGACTGTTACAGGCCATGACTGAGGCACTGCTGCAGCTGAGGATGAGGATGATCTTCCAGCACCTTTTTGCAGGACTCTGGACCTTCTCTTTTCATCCTGAGACTCCACCAACTTCTTCCACATCTCTGACACTGATCTTCCAGGCAGTTACAGCAGGCTATTAAAACACATGGGAGATACCAGGGACTCGGTATAAATTAGTGTGCATTACCATGCATGAGATTTTGTTGGAATGGAGCACGGGCTGAGCTCTACCTCTGAGGGCCCCTCACAGAAACAATGGTACTGGTACCCAGCTGTGACCTTGCTGTTACCTCAGCCCAACACCTTGGGTCCCAGGAGTGACTGGCTGCAACACAAAGGTTCCCCATTCTCCCCCTGCCTTCCCATCTGCTTCACCTGAGCCCTGGCAGTATCTCAGCAGCATTCCCTGTGACTCCCCCGAGTGGGCTCAGCCCTTTTGACACTGGGCTAGCTGCATGCATCCCTCTGTAAGGTGTGTCTTCACCCCTCCAGCATCTCTAAGTTTACTGGAAACCCCTCCAGGCATTCACCAGCCCAGGAGAGGGATAGGGAATCCTCCCTTCCCTGACATGTGCAGACACGTGTGTTCCCAAGAAGCAGCACCACTCAAAGGACAGGTTATTTCTTTATTTCTCTTCGCTTCTCCAGAGATGTCCCCCCAGAAGCTCCAGAGAAGCCACAACCTTCTTGCAGAGAGGGGCACATCACCCCTCAGGAGTGTGCTGAGGCTCTGCTGCTCCTCCAGACCTTGCTGGAGCTGTGCCTGCACATCTCTGGTCTCACAGTGCTCCCCCCATTTCACCCCTGCTGTGTAGGTGCCCGCCCACGACTGATGCCCTGATGTCACCTGGTGGCAGGGTATATCTGGAGGACAAAGGACACCTCGAGACTCTTTCTACGCAGGCTGGAGGAGTTGAATGATTTGCAAGAGGAGCCCTTGGCACTGTAAGTGTTCCCTAGGGGCTCAAAGCAATAGCAAGGGGGGCAGGGGGATGAAAAAGGAACTGGCTGCAAAACCCAGGGGAGAGAAAAGTCCAGATAAATCTCCATAAGGGAAAAATTTGGATGTTTGTGCTTGGGGAGCGTGAACAGATCCAGTAGCTAGGAGAAGCTGTGATTCTTGCGTGGCTGTTTTCTGTTTCCTCTGTCACTAGGGCAGGTGCTGCTGCGGTGGTTTGTCTCAAAGCTCCCTGGCTGTGAGAGCAGGGGCTGCTCAGTTCCTCGTGCTGGGTTGGGGCTTCCTGGAACCCCCTTGGCTTGTGTCCTCAGCTGGCTGAGCCTGCATGTGAGCAGCACTGGGGGGCTGCTGAGGAGCAGCTGGGACAGGCAGCTGCTGTTTCCTGCCCCAGCATCCAGCCACACAGGCAGGGCACATCAATGAGGAGTTTATAACATGATGCTGTACCTCTGCTGTTAGTGAATCCCTTTTTCAACTGGGATAGTCTTTCCAGTGATCCCCATTTGGGAATACAGTTCTACTGAAAATGAGTTTCTGTCTCTTAGAGTGCATCCTCTTTTACCTGTTCTTGGTCTTAAAACTGCTGCTAGAATGAAGGGTTTGAAATCCTGTGTAAGACACAGGAGCAGAAAGGGCTGAACCTGCAGGGACTTTGTCCCATCACTATGATTAGCCAACTCAAGCAATTGAGACTGGAGCTGTGAGACTCCTCAAAGGCACTGGATTCAATATGCTGTGACAAAAACCTGAAAGGATGATGCTGGTGGCTCTCCCGAGACCACGATCTGAGCGTGCAAGAAACCCGTAAAAAGAACACGAGCACAAGGGTGTCTCCTCTGGTTTCTCTCTACTCACGGAAGAGTATCTGCATGGAGGGCCATGGCTTATGGAGGTTCTGAGTCTGACACCCTGAGGCAGCGTAAGACAAGTGCACACGAAGGAATCTGTATTTTTGAAGGCTTTGGACAGGGGAAGATGAGTTCCTACACCAAAACGGTCTGAAGAAGATCAAGTGAGGCATCCACATTATCTTCCAGGGACATTTTCCACAGGGAGTCAGAGATTAAGGATGGAGCAGATTAAAGAGTCAGAATTTGTCAGTAATATTCAAGCCCCTTTAAATTTAAATGAAACTAAAAGAAGGATGCTTAACCTGGCCAACAACCCCGAGGTGGGATTTCTGACGCAACTGAGATAAGCCCATTAATGCGTATTAGGTATAATTAGCACTCAGATACAAGCAAAGCTCTTACCTAGAGGATTAAGCCCTTGACTGAGCAGAAATGCTGTCAGGGGCAATTAGGTAACACCTCATCAGAAAGAGGGAGCAGAGGAAGTGCATGGCAGAAGATCTTATACCTCAACAGTCTTTGCACCCACAGCCATCAGCTCTTGCCCAGGAGCTGTGTGCTGGTGCTGGCAGAAGCAAAACAGCTCTGGCAGACCAGGAAACACCGGGAGAAGGCAGCACAGCACTTGCAGAGATCTAGAGGAGACTCAAAACGTTTGTCAAGCCACCTGATTGATCTGGTATCAAGGACTATCCAAGTAACCAGGTACAGTAAGACAAAAGGCTGTGAAATTCCCAAGGGAAGAAGCTGCTGTTGGCATTTCTCTCATATCTGTGATCCTGGGGTGCTTGTCGGGCTGTGTGTAGGGGCAGTTTGTTCCCAAGGTGTGGGAACTGGGGAAGGTTCCATGCTGTGGGGCAGGGCCCACTCCAACATGAACGGAGAATTCTTTGACTCTAATGATGGCAGGCAAGTCCCACCAGTTCCATGGGGGGAAGGCAGCTTGATTTCAGCGGCAAGAGGAAAGCTGCTATGTGGCATCAAAGTTGCTTTCCATCCTCTGTCATTTTTTTAGTGATGTATGGAGAGAATAGAAGTAGAGGGAGATTAGTATGGAAGAAGTTAGAATTGTCCCTAACGTTAGAAATGTCACTAATGAAAAGTTTCATTGAGTGTTCTTTATTGAATTCATGCAGATGAGAGAGGATGAAGTGTGATTTGGGCAGATCCTTTTTCCTACCAAATCCTGGGTTATTGAATATCTGGTAGATGGATACAACTACTTCAGATGGGGGCAAAAATAAATTTCAAGGGCTGAGTCTTTTCATCAGCTATTCCTCTATTGAGTGACATCAGGGACAAACTGTGGACTAAAAGATTTCAGAAGTTGACCCTCAAAGACATATTTGTGGTTAAGGTAACATGCCAGTGCACAACAGAGGTTATTGAAGCAGGGTAGGAATTGGAGATAGAACTCAAATGCATCTTCCAAGTTTTGGATGTCAGTCCTAAGGGATGGAAATCTGTTAGCTGGTTTGCTTTTTCTGTTGTACTTTTGGGAGTAGCCTTTGAGAAGGGCACCAAGTAACTTGGATGTCAGATTAACATGGTGCTTAAAAGTGGATGTGTTCCTTTTAGTTCAAGAGTGGGGTCTAGCACTGGGACAGACAACATGTGATGAGAATTGCACCTGAGACAGAGACATAATAATAGACTTTGGTGCATTAGCAGACATGCTATGGAGCAGCTCTCTGATGCAAAGCATTTTGTTGTAGGGCAGTATCATCTGAATTGCTCCCATCCTGAATAACAGAGAGGGACCAAATTCTGTCCTTGTTTTGGAGGCAAAATGCCTTGATCTCTCAGTCTGGCCCTAAAAATCTGTGAGTCAAAAGATTTCATCTCTCCTCCTAGCAGTGCAGTCCAGGTCATACCTATCACCGCACTTTCATTCTCATTCTGTAAAAGAAGAAGGTGACAGTGTTTGCCTGTCCTGCCACCATTCTGTGAGGAAAAAGAAAAAGCTGTAAATACTGGGCAACTGTTCAGGCGCTGCAGAGATGGCAGCCAAATAAGTAACTTCCACAGTTTGAGCTGATCTCTGTGTTTGTGGGCACAGTGTGTGCTTAGGAAGCGTTGTGTTACACGCGGGGGAATAGCATCTGTGCATGCTTCAGCTTCAGACACAACCATCTGCTGCTCCATTTGGGGCTGCTGGAACCTGTCCAGTCTCCTGCTTGGGATATTACAGCTGAGACAGAAGCCTGACCACAAACGACAGAAGAACAAGCCTGCCTCTAGGTGCTATCATTTGGAACCATCCTACTGCCACCACAGATGGAAAGATGTCCTGGGTGAAGTATTTCCAGACTGCCACAGATACAGAAATATGGCTCTTCACCTTGCATAGATGTGGAAGTGACACAGGAGGATTGCTCAGATTATCTTTCTCCTTGTATATAAGGATTTGCTTTCCAACACTGGCTATTTCAGGAAAAAAGGAATGAACTTTCTTTAGACTAAGGAAAAAATCTTTGATGACATTTATAGTTCTGAGATTAGAAGTCCAGAGTGTCATGGCAGGTGATGTTGGGGATTAAGCCAGAGTACTATGGTGACCTAATGAGATTAGTCTTTAGAACCAAATCCTGAAGTTAATTCCATCAGCGATTACATCAGCCTGGATGCACGGGGACAAACACCTGGAGATAAGAGATATATAACAGTCATGGGGAAGAACGTGACTTCAAGGAAGAAAGGAAAAAACTGCATTTATTTTTATCCATAAATGCACTTGTTCAGACCATTCTGGCATACAAACTAGCACAAAATTTGATGAAGGGCTGGGAGCTTCCATTTGGGCACTGGTGAGAGTTATTGCTGTCCTCTCTGGGAAGGAAGCAAAAGGCTCAGAGTGCGGCAGTTCTTTCATCTAAAACAGGAGACATGTCTCCTGAACAGAAATTGCTCCCAGATAACTCTTTATCCCCTGTGGAGTTTGGCTCATGAACAGTGTGGTGAAGAGGGGTCAGCACATGTAATATAATGCTCAAAAATACCAAAATGGGCACATCCTGGGGAAAGTTACAGGCTTTACTCCTCTAAATCCTGAGCAATTTGCAAAATTAACTTCTGCCTAAAAGATAGTCTCCAGTGCGTTGCCTCAGCCTTCTGGATAATCTTGGAACAATCTTGTGCTATTTGCTGTAAGTCTGGTATTGACAAATGTTGGGCCCTAATTGCAGCTCCACCCAGACAAAGGACCCATCCAGCCCAGCATCCCATGTCCATCAGTGTTCTAAAGGTAATGCTTAGGCATGAGTATGAGAACAGGTGGAGTAAGTATATCATGGTGATTCCCAAAGAGAGGATATTTCTCAAAGCCATACATGTGTCTTCATGGCTCCTGTAGTAATCAGGTCCTGAACCAGTAAACAAAAACCTCAGCAATACTATTCCAAGGCTAGCTAGAAAAAAAACCCCAGCATTGCCATTTAACTTCCTATTTTACCTAAATTGTTGGGCAAGCTTCTGCAGCAACCTGTCTCCAAGAGTGTGACTGTGTTTGAGACAAAAGAAGATGTTAGTCTCCATGACTCTGCAAGACATTGCATCATGGGGTAAATGTCTTTTTGGCCTTAGCTCAGGTATCCTTTGTTTGGGATCTTAATTCTAGCATGCCAGGTGAAAGGCAGCACTACCCTGCTTAATTTGTACACATTACAATCTTTCTTTATCTTTAATACCATTATCTTTAATCCTGCCACAATTTTATTTTCCATAATTCTGTCATCTGACTACTGGTACCTAGAAAAGACAAGCAGAGTGTTGTGTCAGTCCTTGCTGTTATCTTGCAGACAGAGGGATCTGAGAGAGGCACGTGCCTGCCAAACACAGCCCAGAGATGAGTGAGACCCCAGCTGCCAACCTCAACACTGGAGATGCTCCAACTGGTCCCACCACACCACGCAAGGGGCCTCCCAAGTTCAAGCAGAGACAGACAAGGCAGTTCAAGAGCAAGCCCCCAAAAAAAGGAGTAAGAGGGTAAGGGAATTTTGGAAAGAAAAGAAACTGTGCTAGTTGGGTAAGTTCCCACTGCTGCATTGTGCTTCTGTGCATCTTCCCTTGGGCAAGGAGCCCCCAGGTGCCATCAGCTCTCCAACCTGGAGCTGCTTCTCTTCTGCTCCCTACTCACAATTCCTCTTCCTTGGCTGGTGGTTTAGGACATCTCCCCTTTCCTTGCTGCTGCCCCAAACTCACTCCTCACCTTCTCTTTTCTCTCCTAGGTTTGGAGATGACATCCCAGGCATGGAGGGGCTAGGCACAGGTAAGCTCTGCAAGATGTTCTTGTCATGCTCTGCTTTAGCACTAGAACAGACAAACTTGGTCATAGGAAAGGGGTGGCCTCTGTTTTCCTGGCCTGTCTGCAGCTCTCAGGGTCACCAGAAAAGACTTGTTCTGCCTCCCCAAGCTGCCACATTCATGCTTATTCTTACATACACTATGTGAAGGAAAGGCCATTTATGTATGCTTCAGCTTCAGACTATTTACATTGGGCTGCAGAAGTGCTTGTTTGTTTTCTGCTAATACTCTGGCTAAGAATTTCAGCAGCATGAGATTCTCAAAGAAATGCTAAATGCTAAGCTATTAATACCAAAAAATCACAGAAATTAAATCCCAGATGGTTAAGTATTTGTGTTGTCATCAGAATCCTAATTTTAAGAATTTTATGTACCCATCTGGGATTGAGAAACTTGCATTGGATGAGCTGTAGCCAGTCAGAACTTTGAAGTATTATAAATACTGATAAAGCTGATAGAGTTACAGATTCTGAATACTGTAGGCCAAATTATTCAGCAACTGATCTAAAACTGCACATGTCTTTGAGGAGATCACAGTTTGGCTACGGTTAATTTATAAGAACAGGAGAAACCACATAACTGGAATGAATTTTTACATCAGTTTACACAGCCACTAAAGAGACTTGTAACTGCTGGCTTGCTTTTGCTCACAGAGAGAAAGTACACTGATCTGGTTTGGTCTGACAGGTAGTACCAGATTTTAAATGCTCACCTACCCATTTAACCTTCAAACGGAATCCCATTCTTGTTAATGCTTCCTGAGTAAATCAGCCTTTCCATTAATAAAAGATAAATCCGAGGAGTGCATTGACAAGAACACATTTGTCATTTTCTCTCTTTTGCAGATATTACCGTGATTTGCCCATGGGAAGCTTTCAGCCATCTGGAACTGCACGAGCTGGCCCAGTTTGGGATCATCTAAGGTGTCAGCATCTCTACTAGTGTCACCTGGTGACTCCACAGATTCCAACATGGTCTTTACCACCTTTGACACTTACTTTTGGCCCTTGCATCCACTTGCTTATGGGCAGGGTGGTTTTGTAAGAGCTAGTTATGAGAAACTTAACTTTGCAGATTAATTTGGCAAAGAAGTTATTTGGGACCCTGAGCAGACCTCATGTTCCATGTGATGAAACTACTGAAAAATGTCTTAATGTCTCCCTGCACCATATTCTTTCTTATCTCACTGTCATAGATCTTCAATGTTTATGGTGATACGGGGAGGCTGCATTTGAACTTTTTCCCTGATTAGCTGAGATATTGTGTGCATGTACATCCAGACCTAATTAAATCAGCCTATTCTATTTTCTTCCTTCCCTCCCTTTCCTCAGCTTTCTGTATAGAATTTCCATGGGTAGGTCCCTTTGTTTTTTGGGCCACCAATTATTTGCTCCAAGTACATCTGTAGAGAACAGCATTAGAGTCACCAGTCCAGACATTAGGCTGTTTTCCATAGGAGATCCTTCCCCAGTGGCTCACCATAAGGAACGTGCTGCTAAGATTTACCTCATCAGCAAATGGGGAAAAGGGCTTGCAAATGCTGTCTGTGCTGTACTGCCCAGAGGCTATGAACCATGAGAGTCTGGCTGTTCTCATAATGTTAAATGAAAATGTGTGCGTCTGAGATCAATAGCTAAGTGAATTAATCCTATTATTCATTCCTTTGTGGTTGCAGTTCCAAAGAAGCAGCACTCCAAATGACGCTGCGTTTCCTCTCCTTTGATGGGAGGCCCTGTGTGACACTTGTCCCCACGCCCATACATATTTACATGAGACATTTGCTCCCCAGGACACGCTTGCTGCTTATTAAGACAGAGAATCCTTATGATCTATCACCAGCCTGTGCCAGCGGTCCTGCCACATCCAGCAGAAAATGATCCTGCAGTAATTGCTCCCTCCTCTCTGTGTTTGGCATAGGGTGAGTCTCCCCTCACCCTGCCCCTCATAAGCAGGAAGGCTTTTCTCTCTTCACTCCCTGGCAATTTCAAGCTCTGGAGCTTGTTTGGACAAGCAGGCAAATGGTGTCCCCAGAGAGAAGTAACAGCAGAGCAGGCGGGCAGGCAGGGGAAGGGTAAGATGTGTCCATGCAGGCAAGCAAAGAGCGAATCCACTTAACCCCATCGACCTGTGTCTGCTGGTCTCTGGCAGCCTGAGTGCTGCAGAGCAGTGAGGCACCCCTAACCACTTAAACGTCCTGGGAAGGCACTGACATTCCCTATGGCCCCAGCACTAAGGAAGGGCTTTTGGCTTGTTTGCAGGCAAGGAGCAAGTTTTATTGTAGCTACATAATATTCATAAGAGGAGGTGGAATTTTTAATCATTGCCTGCAGCTTAAGAAGCTTCATCACATAAGAACTGCCTCCCCCTATCTTATCTTTCCTATGCTGAACATGTTCATGGGAGCAAGGATTGTGGAGAGGAGAGCAAATCCTGTCTAAACGATCGACCCCCACGCATAAAGCTTTGCTATAAATCCATGGCGGTGCCATAGTTATCTGCTACTGTTATTCCAGAAATAAAAGCTAGCAGTTTGCAGTTAAAATATAGCTTGAGCACCAAAAGCTAAAGGAAATTAATTCCTGTTGGCAGTCCAGAGTACAGCTTTTATTATTCAGCACTGCTGCCATTAGACGCAGCAGTAAACCACGGAGTGGTTCAGAACCGCAGCGCTATCGCAGCACAGAAGTCCTGTACCATTTAGCTAATTGCAGCCCACAGCTATTTCCTTGGGCAGAGGCAGTCTGTCCTTTCCACTTACTTCCAATTTCTCCTGCCTTTCTCACCTTTTAATGCTTTTCTTCTTTCCCTAAGTGTTCTTTATGTAAATGATGTTTTATTTAGCTTTTACTATAGAGAACTGATTTGATTTTCTTTCAAGCTCATGTACTAGCCCTCTCCTGCAGTTAAATGTGAATGTTCCTATGGCAATACTCTCATATTCTCCCTCCCATTATGCCATCCTGTTACATATGATCCTTATTCCACCTTCTCAGTCTGTCCTCTTCTCTCTGGGAAAAGACCCATTAGATCCAGTTTTGAATCCTTCAAGATGGCTGCCTCTATTATAATTGAGTTTTCCCTTTTTCTAAGCTTTTTTAAGCAGGACAAAAACAAGAGAAGGAAATTTTAATTAGTTCTTTTGCTCCCTCTTCATCCCAGACCTTGGGAAAACAGTCCACAAACAGTGAGATACTTTGCCAGAAAATACTGTGGTAAAAGCAAAATTCTCCTTAGTCCAGGAACTGAAGTTTTAGCAAATCAGAAGGTCCTGATGTAGTTCCACATCCGATTGCCATAACCCCAGCTCCCATCAGAGAGCTACTCCATTCTCCTTCCTAGAGGAGTTCAGGAATGCACACATAACCCAGCTCTCATGCCCAGCTGATGAGCTGTATCAGAAGATGGATGTTTTGAGCCAACACAGTTTGTTAGTTATTTTAAAAATAATTTCTATTCATTAATAGGGATTACATTCATTCCTTGTAAGGAATTTTGAGGCTTAGAAGAAGAGTCTTAAAACACACTCACGGTTGCTTTGTCAGAGGTTCTAAGTTTTTTCTAATGAGCCATAATTCCTGAAACTTCCATTTTTCAGTGAGAGATGGCCATGGTGCAAGAAAGCAAATGTGTTAAAGTAGCTTGTTGAAGGGCTTCAGTCTATATGCATTGTAATATGTTATTCTCTGTTATTTTACTATAAAAACATGTCAAAAGGAATAAAAAATAATAAAAATTGTTTCAAAAATCTTAAGAATGTAGTCTGACTTGCTTACAAAATATAGCCAGGGAAAGACTTAACTTTTCCTTCTGAAATCCTTTCCTTTCCTGGGGAAAGCCCTGAAAGTCACTTATCACTTCTCGTTAGAGAAAAACAGCTATGCAACAAACAATAGGCAATAAAGACTGACTGTAATATCATCTGAGAAGCAGTTTTTTCCTGAGTGATGACTGGCATATTCTCCCAAAAGTGTTGCACATGGTTTCCTTCAGGCTGAAATCTTTTGGCCAGTTACATTTTCTGTGACTCTGTGAAAATGAATGGCAGTGTGTTTTCTACCCCATAGCAAAAAAAAAATAAAAAAATGCTGAGATGTGAATGCCACTTAGATGCTTCTCACTGCCATGACTGCAGGACAGAGCTGCAAACACTCATCTCCTCTTGCTTCTTTCTGTTGCTGAACTTTCTAGGTGTTCATAGGGGTTTCAAGATGGTCAGGTGCAATTGTCTTCTTGTGTTATGCTGTCAAATCTCAGCCTTAGAAGTGTTTTCCTTCATGCCATCTTCAAAGTTTTTTTCTGGCAACTCATCACTGAGTGGCCAATTAAAAGTCTTTTGTCTTTGAATGTTCTCTATCTTGTGAGATACAGAGTATGAGTTGTCCAGGACTCCCTTTGTGAGGGCTTTTTATAAACCCGTTCACAACCACATTTTGAAGGCCAGGAAAACATCTTCTCACATAGTTATGTCTGCTTAAAGCTGTAACCAACTTTTGAGTCCCATCTTCACTGACCCCAGTTTCTGACTCTAATGAGAAAATTAATTAAATCCAAATCTCTTCAAGAAAAGAAGAACAAACCTTGGGAAAAGTGAGAAGCACTCATCTTGCTTCCCCTCTCCACCCACCCCCTCAATATCTAAATCACCTCAGGAATCTCTGTTAAAAATAAATAATAATAAAATAACAATAATAAAATAAAAAATGAACCCCCAAACTCTCAGTGTAAGTTGGATTCTTCAGGAGACCTGAAGAGCACCAGTGTAAAATTACCATCCTCCAACAGTTTTCAAATCAGCACCTCACTCAGTATCAAGCCACTGTCACATTTTCCTATGGCATTGATCAGTAAGGTGTAGGCTGAAAAATGTACCCCGACAATATCACTCTGTGTTTTGTGGGGAACTTTTCTATTTTATAAATGGGATTTTGAGAGTTAGGTGCATTAAGAGTACCCACCACCTTTAGGTCTTCAATACTTGATTTTTCAGAGTACTTAACATTTTCTCTTGAAGTTTAAAATGCAGCTGTCATTATCTGTGGTTGCAGCTGTAAGTACTCATTAGAGAATCTCATTTTCTCTGAGTCAAATCTCACTCAGACAGTAAGATCCAGGGCCTCAGCTTGGAGATCTGAGGAACAAGAAGTCTGTATTTTTGAGAGAATTTATTTAATGCTCCATAGGGTAGGCAGGTTATTCCAGCCAACAGTCTGTTTCAGCATCCCCACACCATGTGATGCAAATCTAGACAGATTTGAAAAAAAAAATTAAAAAATAAAAAAAGAACATAAGATTATGCAGTTAAAATAAGAGATAGTATCACATGCTTATAAATGTGCTCAACTCTGGAATTTCCTCATACCAGACTGCTTAACATTGAAACTTTATTCCTAGTGCTGTCAGGGCTGTTGGAGCTGTGATCAGCTTAGTACCCTAATGTTAGGCACCTGCACCTCTGAGGTTTGCCCTGACAGCCCAAGGCAAGGAGCATTTATGGCTTTGAGTTTTTTCCACACCAACTGTGATCTGTCTGGAGGGAATGGGATGGCTGAAGCCTCTGTGCTGGGGGTGCATAACAATTGAATTCTGCCAGCTGCAACTTCCAATTTACCTTTAACATGTGCTCTCACATTTTATGTTGCTCCTCTTCTTGAAGTTTAGCACAACTATGGTGAGAATTTTGGTTGTTGCTGCTCCTGCTGGGTGAAAAATAATACCTTCTCCATCAAGGCCTTCAGGAATTTTCAAACACTTTCTTGCCTCGCATTTTTCTGAGGCCTCTCACATTCCTTAGGCTGTAAATGAAGTGGCTGAGCATAGCAATCACCAGCACATACTCAACATACAACAGACTGTCCAGATGTCAGAGCAGACAGGGCATATGACAGAAATAAATGAACTACACTGCCCTGTGAAGAGCAGGACTTTAGACAGGGAGGCACCGGACATGAAGAAAGCTTTTGGTACCCTGAGACCTTGGTCAGGATGGTGGTCAGCACAGGAAATGTCCACAGGAAGAAAGATGCCTTCAAAAACAGGCAGAACACAGAAAAGGAATGCAGTGAATAGCCAGAAAGCTGCTTGCCAAAGCTGTAACACTGGGCTTTGCCCTGTGGTCTGTGCCAGACAGGGAGGGTATAGCAGCTGGCCAAGGAGCACTTGCAGGAATTCTCAGCCTGTTATGATACTGAAGAAGAGCATCCTCACAAGGCACAAACAATTTATAAAGCACTGAGCAAGCTGAACTTGGTCCCTTACAAGAGACCTTGCTCTCTCTGGGAGGCAGTGGCTGAACAAGCATCAAGGAAGGAAGAGAGCTTGGAGAAAAACACATCAAAGTGTGGGAGCTCCAGACTACCACCCCACTGACCTTGTAATCATGGGTGACAGAGTAGGTAAGCAGGAATAACATCAGTGGGAGAATCTATGTCTTGTGCTATTAGGAGAACTCAATAAACCCATGTTTTACTTCCCCTCACCCCTGGACAGGGCACCAAAAGGAGCAACAGATAGAAATCTCGGGATCATTAAAACCCCCACCACTGAGGGCTGCTGGAACACATCTCTTGAAAGTATGGCCTAGGCAGGTTTACAGGGGCTGTAGAGGTGGAAACAAGCAGATGGAAAGCAAGGCCAGTTCCTCAGCCATACACAGGTTTCTGCCCCACCAGTGACCTGAGGTACAACTCTCATTGCTTGATCAAAACACCACATTGGTTTCTCTAGGCTCAAGGAGAAGGCAAACTCATTTGCCCATCTCACAAGAGATATCTGGATTTAAGCCAGCTCAAATCTGTATTATCCAGACAGCTGCTGGCATGGGCATAGCAATCTTGCATCTGTCTGTACCAGGGAACTGGCTGCAGGTCTGAAAGTAAGGGAAGAAAAATAACAGAAGGTCAATCACGTAGAAAACAAGTTGTATTAGATCTGGCTTTAGCAACTGCAGTTTTACCAGAAACATTCTCTGGGATCAAGGTCCTTTCCATGCTAGGCACTTTCTAAGTAAATCACTGTGAACTAATGAATTAGTTATCACCCTGGTCTCCAAGCAAGTGTATTA